TTCAGAATCAGAAAAAGACATTTCTCTGCTAGAAGCAGGTTTTCTTTCTCTCTCTCTCTCTCTCTTTTTCTTTTTTGGAGTGAATGAATCCTTTGAAATGTAATTTTCACCTTTTCCTCTAGGGAAAGCCTGAGAAAGTGAAAATGCCCAACAGCCCAAGAGAAATAGTGCTAACCTCTCCCTGTGTAGAGAGGGGGAAGGGCAGAGGGGCCAGGTAGCTAAATGGTCAAACACTGCTGGCCCCTTCCTAGGGGAGCACTTCCCTGGGGGGCTTTGGAAGTGTCCTTCCAGAATAGATTACATCCTGCTAGTAAAAGAACATCCCTAACCCAAAGAGAGTATTTTTCCTATTATCCCACTCATTTAATTTATCCAAAGTTTGCTACTTCCCATTCAGGGTCCTTATCTAGAAATAACCCCACACACTTAAGCCATGGAGAAAAGATTTTCAGAGACACCTGGAGAAAATGGAGAAACAAGAATAAGAGGAAATCCCCAGGGTGTTTCATTCACCTCTCACTCAGTTGCTCTTGCCTTGGCATGTAGTTAGTTACAGAGATCAGAACCGAGGCCAGAACTGTTTGAAACAAAGCTACCCCCCACTGTCACATGCTACATTGTGATTTGGATTTCATGTTCCCATAAACTCAGAAAAGAACCTCTTTTCATTAGAGGAAAAAACGGAAGTTTCTGCCCTCCCCCCTTTGATATCATGGTCTTTCAGGGTTAACTAATAAACATTTAAAAAGTGATCATTTCACTGCTTTAAGAAACACCCTTCTTTTAGAGACAGGACATTACTATGCTCACCAGTAGAAACGTGAGGTGTAGTGAAAATGTCAGCTTTCCAGCGGTTTGAAAACAGGTGAATGATTCATTCTCTTAGTGAACTGAGAATGTCAATAGGAAGTAGTCTAGAAGCTTAAAAAAAATAATAAAAAAAGTAAAATTGAGTTGTTTGAAGTTCCTGTACTATCAAAGTGTGATTACTCTTGAAAAATCCAGGTCTACAGGTGATACGGAAGAGAAGGTAACGGGAAGAAAAATAAAATATCCCACAGCATCTCTAAAAGTGAATAGCACCTTACCCTGCCTTGGTCTCTGCTTCCTAGTTCATTGTATAATTAGTGACTTGTGCACAGACATCCTCTTTGTGTCATTGAGGACAAAAAGCCACGAAAGAAGGAGATGTGGCAAAGCATTCATTTGACAGAATACGACTCACTTTATTTTTTTAATCCACTGTAAAGAAAAGGTGCATCAATTACCTTGAGCATGCGGATTTCTCGAAGGGCGATTTTCTTTATGACAGGGTCATCTTCTGATTCCAGAAACCTCTTGATGGCCACCATCTGACCTGTGTCCCTGTTTCTGCATTTGAAAACAACTCCATAAGATCCTTCTCCAATTTTCCCAATCTTTTCATACTTCTCCATTGCAGGGGAGTAAATCTTAAAGCGGATCTTCACATAGTTGGAAAACGTGGCTTACACAACACCGGCACGAACAGGCTGCACTGGGGCCCGCAACCGGCGACGGGTCTCGGCCGAGGACCTGGAACAGAGCGGCGCCCCTGGTAGGAGGGACCCGAGTCTTCCCAGACTCGCCCCCTCAGCCATGGCAACACGATCGGGGATGACAACCCACAGCTGGCTGCCTCGGGTGACCCAATTTTTAACCGCCTGTTTGTACCCTGTTAGTTAAAATGCAACCCGTTCTCCTAAAACGAACGGAGCTGTAAGATAACCTGTCTCTCTAACGTCACGGTTCATCCGATCGCAGACACACGAGCTGGCTGGGGACCGCGAAGGTGAACGGCTTCCCCGGTTCTCGTTTCGGATCTCATTTCCCTACCGCAAGCGGACACCTGGGGCTGCCCGCGGGGGCGGCGGCGAGGCCGGGGCCGCCGGGGACCGAGGGGGCC